CTAAATGCTTGCACTGCAGTGCTAAGTACCTGGTAAGTATTAACTCATTTGATGCTCATGGCAACCCCATGAGGAGGTGCTATTATTATTATCCCTCACCCATGTGGCTGTTGTTGTTGTTTGGGGGAGAGAGAGAGAGAGAAACATTGATCGCTTGCCTCCTGTACACACCCCAACCAGGAATCAAACCCACAACCTTCTGGTGTCAGGGGCAACGCTCCAATCAGCGAGCCCCCGGCCAGGGCGAGGTGCTGTTATCTTGACTCCCATTTACGGAGGAGGCAGCAGGGGAGTTGAGAGGCTGGCCTGGGACCAGCCGTGGGCACTGGCATCGGAACTGACACGGCGCCACTCCAGAGCCCCTTTTCTCAAACTCTGGACTGTTGTTGCCCCAGGCCCCGCCCAGCCTGAGCAGAGTGTGTTCACATCACCTGCGTTGGGAAAGGAAGCTAGACAGCAACGCAGCTTCCCCCTGGACCCCTGCCAGCGGGTGGAGGAGGGTGCCTGACCGTCACACTTAAGGCCCCGGAGCCCCGTGCGGCCGTGCTGAGAACCGCTGGCTAAAGCAGCCATGCCTCGCAGCGTGCACTGTCAGGCCAGCTAGGAATTCCTGCACCCGGGTGCAGGCTGATACCCTCGCTGGGCTGTCGATGGGCCCCTTCCAGACATGCTGTGGGCGGGCAGGTGTGGGAGGAGCCCTGAAAGAATGAACTGGCCGAGGACAAGGCCTGGAGGTACTCCGGGGCCCTATTTCCCTGCTCTGGCTTCGGCCTGCTCTGCTTTGAAAGGTTCCTTCCAAATAGTCCCTTCCTCAGTGAGTGACCAGCTATGTGTGAAGAGTGGGACCTGCCGCATGAGAGGGCTTCAAAGCCTTAGCAAAGAAATTAAAATGAACAAAAGCCTTCGCAGAGCAGGGCAGCAATAGCCTTGAGTGAGCGAGGCCCACAGAGGCCCCCGGACCAGGAAGAGCTTTTGGGGAGACGGTGTGAGCTGGGTTTGGGGAGCGGGCACAGTGTGGCTGGAAGAGAGGGAGCACTTCAGTTGTGAAGAATGAGGTGTGTGGATGTGCGGGGAGAGGGTTTGGCACTGTGAGCAGGAGACGAGGCCGCGGGGTCCGACGGCGGGCGGAGCCCAGCTGCTGGGAGAGTCCTGAGGCTGCAGGAGCCCGGGCCGTGCAGCAGCAGCGGGGGCCACTCTAGGGCTGTGAGCACTGACTTGGAGGCAAAGGGAAGGGCCGGGAGCCCGAACGCCCCACGCTGACCTTACTGGCGCACCAGCTGGTTCGAGACAGGCGTGTACCCCGCCGTGGCCTGCAGAAGGGGCTCCCCGTCACCCTGCGGGCCGCCGGGGGCAGATGGAGAGAGCTCCCAGAGGGTGGACAGGCTGGTTCTCCGTCACTGGGATTGTCCGATGCCCCTGCCCGCCTCTAAGACTCCCAGGGTTACCTGTGACAGGGAAGGGGGCGATCATCCAGTCCCCGTCCTGCAGGGACCCCACAAGAATAGATAAAACTTGGCCTTGAGCCACTCCACATTTGGAATTCTTTGTTAAAAGTATCTTTCCCCACCGAGGAGGGTATGTGTAAATGTGGGGACAGAGTAAGAACCAACTCTGGGCGCCTTGTTTTTCTTCACAATTCACCACACATGGTATTGCCTCCTTCCCCTCCTGCTAACATTTATCCCATCTCCAAAGCTCAGCTGGAACCCCACTCCTTGGGGGGTGCCTTTGGCCCACGCAGGCCCAGGGGACTCCCCGATCCAGAGCTCCCGGAGCAGCGCCAGGTGCCAAAAATGCTCCGTCCCTGTGCTGTCCGCGCTGGCAGCCCTCGCCACAGGTGGCTGCTAAGAACTGGGCCGGTGGCTAGAGCCACGAAGGAACTGGATTTTAAGTTCATTTAAATGTCAACAGCCGCGTGTGCCTCCTGGCTAACACCTTACGCGGCATGGTCCTTGAGCACCTGTTGGCTGCACAGTGAGTTAATCCTTCCCAGCATCTCCAGGGGACCTGCTATTTGCCAGGCACTGACTACATGCTTGACACACATGATCTAGTTCTCATGAGGAGGCACTGTCACCCCCATTCAAGGAGGAAGGAATAAGGGGATGAGAAACCTCCCTAGAGTGGCAGAGCTGGACTGGAGTCTGGGACTGACCCGCAGCGCAGGGCATGGTGCGTAGGATTGGAAGAGAGTTGGAGGATGGAGAGTGGAGCTGACAAGCCCAGGAGATTTGGAGCCGGGCTTGGGGCTCTCCCACATTTCACTTCTCCTCTTAGCTCCAGGAACCTCCTCGGTCCTGCGTCCTCAGTGCTTCTTGAAATAGGAAAGCAGAGGACAGCCAGCTGTTTGAAGCCAGGACTCATGCGTGCCTATAAATTGGAGTTATTGCTGGGATAAATTGAACCCATGCTTCATCCATTCAGTGAAAAATATATTAAGCATCTTAAGGATTTGGGTTCAAATAGTTCAGCAATAAAGCTGAGAATCTGCATTTTAACAAAAGCCAGGCAATCCCATGATCCACCGATTGCACTTGGAAGTCATAGTTATTTATATTTAGTCTTTGATATATTTTTTTACTTGGTTTCCCAATTACAGCCAGGAGTAGCCCCTTCTTCCTCCAATCGTCCCTTTAGCAGGTTCTCAAGCCTGGCTGCAGACTCGACTCACCTGGAGCGTCAGGAAAAGCTGGGGCCAGGCCCCAGCCCAGGCCATTGGCCAGAATCCCGGGGTGGGGGTGCTCGGGCATCTCCTGTGGGGGTTGACTCTGACATGCAGCTGGGGTTGAGGACCAACCTCCTCTCCGATGCCTTCGATGCCTTCGTGGGGCTCAGCCACATCCTGCTTCATGTCTCTTATCGGTCTCCTTCTGGGTGGGCGGAGTCACCTCCAAGCCTCCACACCTTCGCCTTGCATAGCGGTTTCAACTGAATGAAACACTTTCCCCTTTTTCAGTTCAGCTTTGGGCGCACCAAAACATTGCCCCGGGAGAGGCGGTCTTTTGCCAAAAGGGGACCAATGATGCTTCCTCTGTCCTTTCTGACCCACCCTCTTTTTGCTGGGTCTTAGGTGGCCTCCCCCTTAGGGGGGAGCTTTGTGAGTAGCACCTCGCGTCAGAGGGTCAGGCAAGGGAGCCCTGAGGTGAGATGAAAGAGCTCGGGCGGTGGGATGGGCCTGCCTGGGTCAGCCGGAGAGTCAGATTCCAGGTGTTGGTGCCAGCCCAGCCAGCTTCCGGTGCCTACGGCACGGACGGCACAGGGGCCGAGGGAAACCTTCCAGGATGGAAGTTCTCTCCTCAAAGGATTCCTGGCGCCATAGTGGGCAAGTGGAAGCAGGTCTGGTTGCAGGTAGAATCATGAGGCAGTGAGGGTTTCTCAGGTGCTCCGTCCCCCTGGCCTCCCCTTTAATTACCAGTGGCCTGGACCCTGCCCCTTCCCAGAGGTCACTGCCTACATGCCCTTTCGCGCCCCTCCCCCCACGCCTGCTCCTAACTCACGCCAGGCGGAGTATTTCTAGTCAAGCGAAGTGTGCCACCCAGTCCAAGGGTTCTTGTTTGTTTTTAAATCCAAGAGGAGTGTTTCAGATGATGGAGTTCTAGCTGTCATTGTGGATTAAGCGTTTCTGAGGGAAGTGGGTTTTCTTCTGAATTCCTGGAATCGCAGTCGGGCCACTCTGAAACCAGGGGGGTGTGGGGGGGCACCTGCTTCGGGAGGAGTCACTGCCTCTCTTTGAGAGGGAAGGGGGGTTTGCCCTTGGGGGCCACGTCCAGGTGCCCTTGGGAGGCGCCGGCGGGGGGTCTCACACGTGCCCTCTGCCCCTGCCAGATGTGGATGAGTGTGTGGAGGGGACCGACAGCTGCCACATTGATGCTCTCTGCCAGAACACCCCCTGGTCATACAAGTGCATCTGCAAGTCTGGCTACACAGGCGACGGGAAACACTGCAAAGGTGAGGCTGGGAGGGCGCCTGCAGGGGGGCTGCACTGCATGACACTAAGGCCTGTGGGGAGGGGGCTGGTGGAGACAGGGAGGGGAGGAGCCATTTCTTCCCAGCGAGAGCGCCATTTTCTAATGTGCCCAAAGGCTCCATCGAGGGTCCCTGACACTGGAACCTCCGTCTTCAGACCCTTACGCCACTAAGCACGAGGACGGACGGCATGCGTGCTGGAAACAGGCCCGCCCCTCGTCCTGAGGGCCGGGTGGACGGAGCAGCCCTGCTGTGTCCGTGTGTGACCCTCAGTGCTGACGAGGCTCAGGTCATTCCTGGTGACAGTATGATTTGAAACGTGATTTTGTCATCCCTAGAGGAATCCCAAAGGCATTTATACCCTTTGACCCGGGAATTTTACTCTTAGGAACTTCTTCAAAGGAAATTCAGAGAAATAACATACAAGAGAAGATATTCTTTGATGCTTTATTTATGATAGTGAAGTAAATGGAAGGACTCTAACAAGAGAGAAAAAGCAGATTAGGATATAGCGACACAATGGACTATCCTGCAACCATGTACATTGGTGATTAGAAAGGCTGGGTGGAAATAGGAGAAAATGTTTGACCTTAGGTGAAAATAGCAAAATGCAAAATGGTTTGTAGGCTATGAGAGTAACTATGTAAGCGCACACACAGAGATACACACATGCACAGACGCACACAGACAAGGTGGTTTTTTATTTTATTTTATTTTTTTTAAATATATTTTATTGAGTTTTTACAGAGAGGACGGGAGAGAGATAGAGAGTTAGAAACATCGATGAGAGAGAAACACCGATCAGCTGCCTCCTGCACACTCCCCACTGGGGATGTGCCCGCAACCAAGGTACATGCCCCTGACCGGAATCGAACCCGGGACCCCTCAGTCCGCAGGCTGACGCTCTATCCACTGAGCCAGACCGGTTTCGGCAACAAGGTGGTTTTTTAAAAACCATCTCAGGGCTGAGCCCAGGGCTGGAGAGCGGGGGGCATGTAGGTGGGTCCAGCGTCCCAGCTCCCCTTTGCCCGCAGATGTGGACGAGTGCGAGCGAGAGGACAATGCGGGCTGTGTGCACGACTGTGTCAACATCCCTGGCAATTACCGATGCACCTGCTACGACGGATTCCACCTGGCACATGATGGGCACAACTGTCTGGGTGAGCAAGAGAGGGGGCGTGGGAGGGGGGTCTGGTGGGGAAGGCGGTGTTTCCAGCCTTTCCCATTTCCCAAACAAGGCGAGGAAAGTAACCAAAACAGCTGCAAAATAGAGAACAAGGGCCGCCACCCCTTTGAGACTGGCACTGGGGTGACCTAGTCCTGCGCTGGGTGAGCACAGCAGAGGAGAGGGCACGGCCAGCGACCACAGTGGTGGGCATAGCCCGTGAGGGCCTGTGGGTGGCGATTTGCTGCGGACGGACCCTGGCCCTGCTGCTCACCAGGGATGTGGCCTTGGGCAGATTCACAGTCTCTGGGAACCTCAGCTTGCTCGAAGGGCTCCCGGCGAGACCCCCTGATAGAACATGTGTAAGGAGCCCTGGACAGTCCTTGGCACAGGGTGGGTGCTCCATACACAGGACGTCATCATCGACATTCCTGAAGTCATCATCAATGCCTGCTTCTGCTCCCTGCGCCTTGGGGAGCCTCTGTGGCAAAGGGCTGGCCTCCCAGCGCTCTCTGAACTCTCCAGGCGCCCTCTCCTCGCCTCTGAGGCCTGTCTGACCTGACCTCCTTTGTCCCAGGAGCTGGATGAGAAAGAGGAGAATCTCCAAGTAACTAAACTCAACTTTGGTTTCTATCACTTGCCAGGACCATGTCAGACTCCTCCCCAAGCAGACAAACTGAATCCCACAGCATCTGAGATAGGAACCCGGGGTCCTTCCCCAAGTTCTTTCTCTCTGGTGCCATCACAGACGCAGGGGCCTGGAAGAATAGACCAGGAGAGGAAGAGAAGCAACAGGAAGGATGCCCAGAAAAGCAGAAATTATTTGAGGAATTATCTGAGGTCCCCTTGGCCTAGGAGAGCCTCCTGACCACCGAGCTGCCTTCAAACCCAGTCACATTCCAAACCCAGCGGAACCAGTCTTCTATGTTCCCACTCCCAGCGAG